GAAGGTGACAGGAGTCAAATGAGGCACCTGGAATGAGGTGTCCTGGAGGATCCTCTGCGGTTGACCTCCAAGGGCAATGGAGCAGGGCAGGTAAACCCCTAGACAATAAAACAGTGTTTCTTCTCTTCTTCCAGCTTGTGCCAAGCCTCCTCCGTGGCCCACCCATGTAGACTGGAATGTTGTGTCTTTTTTTTTAACTTTTAAATTGGAACTTTATTTCAGTTCTTTTGAATTGATGTAAAAGGTAAGATAAAGAGTGTTTTAAATATATGAAATGAGAATATATGACCTTTCTAATAAGAAGGGCTCCTACTCACAATTTATTGTTAGTTTTCACTCACTTTATCTGCTTCCCACCTCTCTTAAGCTTCTTGTTTGTTTTAAGATTCTTTGAGCCATATCATCAGCTTGAGATGAAAGTTCTATCCTCTCGCTTTAATGTTTCTGTCCACCCTGGTGAGTCCCCACAGGCTCTAACTAGGGGTGATGAGAAGCGCCTCGCGAGGGCTCCCTATCCCACCCCCTGCTGTTCCAGGACCACAGGTGGTTCACCCCTGGACCCACACTATGGTCACGGCCACAGGGCATCCCTGCGAATTCTGGTCCTAGAGGGGTGTCTGCTTGTCCTCTGCAGAGTGAACTCTCACCCTGGCATCAAAGTTATTTACTCAAAATTTTTGCTCACCTGCTCGGCTGTTACTTCAGAGCCCAGCACAAGCCCCAGCCAGGTACCAGGTGTCAGATCAGGTTCTCGCTTCGCAAACCCTGACTCCAGGCCTTTGGTTAGAACCCGAATCCCCATCCCAGATTACAACTTCCTTCTCACAGACCTACCCCAGCAGCTTTTTTAGCCTCAAGTCTGGATCTTAGACCTTTTATTCCCAGAAGAGCCCAGCTCCTACTGCAGCCTGTCCACGTGTCCCCTGAGCTCTGCAGACTGCGGCGTGTCAGGCAGGGGCATGCCTTCACAGCAGCACACAGTCCTGCTACACTCCTCCAGGGCTTCAGCAATAAGGAGTCACAGACCTGCATCCCGGGGGCCTTAGCATCCTCTCCCCATACATATGGACTAGAGAAGGCCTTAATGTGCACAACTAAGGCGGGTCCCCCAGTGGTCCCAAGGTGACTTGCTATTCTTACCCAATGACTAAGAGGCAGACAATGTCATTTGTTCAATTTTAGATTCACTTTGGACCTAGTTACTTTTACTGTTGACAGAAATCTCTTCATCTTTATATCCGCAGACACTCAAAGTCAATCTGTAAATATTGACTCTTTATTTGCCGATTTCTATGGATGGGCACACAGGCAATGACTGTCCATTATCAAGTAAGTGGAAGTCAGACTCTGGCTTCAGGACTGTGTGGATGACTGGTTGCCAGGCTGACATGCAGGTAGGGGAGTGGTGGGGGGCCATGTGTGCCGGGCGGGTCTCATTCTCCTCCCAGCTCTCCTGCTCTCTCTCCTTCTTTGGCCTCTCCTCCCTAATCCTGAGCACTCAGCCTGTTTGTGGGGTCTGCTGTTGGGTTTTCTGCCTCAATAGTGTTTGCTGCTACAATCTACCGTGGGAGCGGCATTTTAAACCACGTTGAATCCAAGAGTCTTCCTCTTGGATCTGGGGCAAAACACCAGCCCCGTGGCACTTTTTGTGTGTTAGATATGTCTCCAGATTCTAGCCGGTGGGGGTGGGGAGAAGGAGTGTTGTGGTTCCTGACTTAACCATTTTACACTCAGTGTCATGTGGACGGCAACACACATGTGGTTCACGAGTTGGCAGGCAGGCAGTTGGGCAGGGGATCAGCAAAGAGGTGAGGGATTAGTGCATGCTGGGAATACCTGCCTTATAGGCTGGAGAGAATTCTGCTGGTCTGGAGCAAGCTCTGGAAAATAACCAAGAGTCTCACCCAGCATTCAGTTCTTCCAGGACTTGTAAACTGACCTCTGTTTGAAGGTTCTGAATCCCAGAAGTGGGATGCTGGCCCTTAGGGCAAAAGCACAGTGAAGCCAGGAGGGGAGTGCCCAGAAACATGAAACAGACCCAAGAGGATCCGGGTGGAGTATGGGGGCAGCCTCTCCGTCTGTCCTCTCTCAGCCCCCGTGCCTGTTGTTTAAAATTGGAACTGTCTGCGCACCCTCTCAGGGCAGGTGATGAGCAAATCTCTGGGCCGGCCTTGTCTGAGGATTCCCGTTCCTAGTGGAGGCCCCACTCTCCCGTCTCCATCCACGGGCTCAGAGCCACTTTTTCGGGGTGTCTATGCCTCAGGAAGATCCCTTCCTCTCAGTACCAACTCTAGTCTGCGATCTGGGCTTTTCTCGGGGATGGGGGCTCAGCCAGAGCTCAGCCAGCACCTCAGCTGCTCCCTGAGAAGCAGGAAGACATGTGTGGAGAGGACAGACTAGAGGGCTGGGAAAACCTGTCTGTTAGGCACTGGACACACATGGTCAGCACGGAGGACGTCATCGGTCATGTAGTCCCCTCCAGGCCTCGCACAGATGGGGACACCGAGGACCAGACACATGGATTCTCTCAACTCACTGGGGTTTTCTCAGCGCCAGGGGTCCTGGGCCAGGCTTGGCTGTGCTGGTGGTTTCATCACTGGTCATCTTTCAGGTTTCCCCCTTCCTAGGTCCAGGAACTGGGCAAATAGATTACCGTCCTCTCACTGTCCGAATACCCTCAAGCAGCCTCCCACTGGACACCCCACGCAGGCGAGGGTCTTCCAAGGAGGGACAGGGTTCCTCCAACAGTGCACCTGGGACTCACTCTGCTGCACAGCCGGCTTCTGTCAGAACAAACATTGGGCTAAACTGCCTCTGCTTCCCCAGACTGATCAGTTCCTGGATATTAAAGAAGGAATGGCCCAGATTCACACTGGCCCCCGCTTCTCCTCCATCCCCTCAGCCAGAAGAATTCATTACCAAAGCCTCTTCTTCTATTTTTTTGGAAAAAAATACTCCATACATTTTAAAACAATCATGATGGGGCAAAATTGTGGCAGATAACATTTAACAAGTTCATTCAAGGGGGAAGGTACAGCTCAGTAATAGAGTGTATGCTTAGCATGTACGAGGTCCTGGATTCAATCTCCAGTACCTCCATTAAATAAATAAACAAATAAGCAAATAAATAAATAAACCAAATAATCCCCCCCCACTTAAGCAAAAAAAACAAAAACAAGTTAATTCAGCTCAGGAATTACGCCCTACAAGAGCTACTGAGTCACACTCTAAGTCCATTCTGAAAAACACACACATTTGACTGGTGCGTTATTTGATGTTCCAGTTTTTAAATATGGAATGCTTCATGACTTTGTATGTCATCCTTGCCCAGGGGCTAGGCTAATCTCTGTATGGTTCCAATTTTGGTACATCGTGCTAGGAAGCCAGCACCATGTTCCAGTTTATTCATTGAGGTAATAATATGTGGTATGGATTGACTCTGTAGCAAAAAAGAAAATTCTTTCCTTTCTTTTTTAAAATAACAAATGACATCCCGTGGCCTCTCTTCCTTTTTTATGTATTTATTTTTATTATTATCATTATTTTTTTTACCAAGTACAATGCACCCTGATAAAAAATGATGAACGTTGTATGTATCTGTGGTAATAGCCGTGGCGAAGGCAGTCAGAGGCATATTAACCACAGACTTATCTGTGGAGCAGCACCTTATGTAAGATGCATTTTCCTCTAGAGCCAGGCAGCGAAGACTCCACCTACGCAGTAGACAAGTGGCCCCTGGGCCCATGTGCCACCCAGTGTCGGGCCTTTGGCGGGGCAGGGGTTTGGGGGGGAGTTTTCTCACCAACATAATTGACAAAACAAGAGTAGGATTTCCATTTAGCGCAACAGAAGCGAATATGTCAATTGGCACTTGATGCATCGTAGTCTGGTTGTACTAATGTCGCCTACGGAACCCAAGATAATTTCAGTGACATCTTCCTTTCCTCTGGGGGAGAAATGAGCTTTCTGCCAGTATCCGGCTGACAAGCCGGGATAAACATTTGCGTGGTAGATGGAGATAGTGTATTTAAGGTTCACTTGAGGTTAGCTATTTAAGGTATCTTTTATAAAACTGACATTCCCCCCCCACCACCAAAAAAAAAAAAAAAGAAAGAAAGATATAGGACTGAATACTTGGTGGAAGCTGATGGGATAACTTTGAGCCCCTCCTTCCAGGTGGCCAGAGGCTCCTTAGACTGTGGTCACCAAACGGATCATCCAAGAAAGCCAGAAACTCTCCTCCATGCACCTCTGTGAGCCTTAGGGTGTGGCCTGGTTAGCGATGCGCCGCTGTTGATCTGCAGCCTCCCGCATCCAGTCCCGAGCGCACGCAGCCTCCGTCACAGCCCTGCGGCCACGGACCGGCGGGTGGCTGTTCCCAGCGTGCGAGCCGTCACTCGGCGCGTGCGGATGGAGCCCCTGCCCTCGGCTGCGGCCGCCCCCCACGTCACGTCTCCACTCCCCAGCCCTGCCTGGCTCCTCTGCCTTCTTAGCTGCTCTACCGTTGCTCTTTGTAGCAGCTCAGCCTCGCTGTCTTCCCAGAGCCTCCGTGAAACCCCCTAACCCAACCATCCCCACCGTTTGTCCCTTCCAGGCCTCGGGACCTGCTCAGGAGAGTCGTGGTGGTTGAGTCAACTGCTGACCTCAGCTGGAGACGCTGAGTGGCGTGGAACTTCTCCTCCTCTTGGGGCCGCTTCACGTTATTTCCCCAGAGGTGCCTTCCAGCCTGGAATATCTAGGCTTACAGGTGTGCAGGTGGTAAAAAACAAAACAAAACAAACAGAAAAACCAAGGAGGTGGAAATGCTGAACACTCCTTGGAAAAGTCCAGCAGTGGACGATTTGGAGAGGACTATAGTCTGAGAGGCACTCAGGCCAAAGGAGGGGAAGGAGTGACGGGCACTGGAGTGTGAGAGTTGGTGGGCAGGACCCCGAGGCCTGGGGGTCGTCCACGGTTCTCTGGCACGCTGTGTGTCCTCACAGGACTCCTTTTCTGCTTGAGCTTTGCGTGGATTCCTGGTCCTTAGCATCCAAGACGCCAGACTAGAATGATCTATATTTGTCCAGTTGCTCAGGTCAGAAACCCGAGCTCCTCAAGGTCAAAGCATGTGTCTCATTCACCAACCCATCTGCAGTACCTGACTTAGCTCCTAGCATTCATTCATTTTTTCACAGTCTTTGTTGCATATTCAGATGCCAGGAACACCATAGGCATTCAGTTAGACAAATTTAAGCTCTTTTTACATCACATTCTGAAAATCGTACCTCTAAAAAAACTCCAGATTTTCCTGATTGGCAATTTAGCTGCCAGAATGCCTGGGAAGAAGAGACAGTTTGTTTAGAAGTAAAGATATTTTCTACTTGCCGATGAAAGAATCCAGATTTTGAGGAAGTATTGAATTGTCTGGTAAAGAAAATATTTAATAAAACAAATTGTAGATCCATACAACTAAAATTGCTAATATGGAGATAATCCTCACTGCAAAATTTTAAGGAAAAGGGCCTGCCAGACATTCGGTTGGATGTGCCCTTGAATGAAGCGGATGCCTTGAATTTCCCAGGGTACCACTCTGAAGTCACAGCAATCCACATGGAATCCTTTGTCCCGTCAAATGAGATTCAACATGGACCCTGGACCTTTGACAGTAGACAATAAACTCCCTACCTCTGTGACTCATTTTGGAAAAAAGAAAAGAGGAATTATACAATCAGATGTGTTCTTTTGGAGATTTTGGGAGCAGCAAGACAGAAACCTTGTGGGTAGCAGGCTTAGGTTGGGCTGAAAACACACTGGAGTGTTTCCGTGTCCACGGAAGCCCTCCAGGCTGGCCGCAGCCCGGCTCTGTGAGAGCTATTAGGATGCAAAGCAGTCATGCAGGCTTGTTCCTGGAGCGTGTCTCACCTCTGTCCCCTCAACTCTGCCTCGGCCCATTCCTAAGTGTGAAAGTTCTGATTGTTATCTCAGTTACAGAATCCCATTCCTTGTCTGTTTTCTTTTGCCCTTATCCTCACATTTCTTTGAATGTCCTTTCATGGGACGCCTTGATCTGCTCCCAAAGAAATGCAATTATCAGAAATCAACCTCTCTCACCCATTTCTGCCCTAAGCAGCTTTTGCCCACCGGTGAATTTCACATTGTACTGAGAAACTCAGCAACTAATACTAATAACAATAAAATATGTTTGTATTTTTTAGATGACTTTTTCCACTGGGGACTCCCTGGTGAGAGACAGGCACTGAGCAGAGTGAGTGTGTATATGAGCTGGAAATAGAGAGCAGGAAAGAGACCTGGCCGGCTGAAGCCTTTCCTTGACAGCTAATTTCCATTTTTTGGTATCAAGGGGTCTGTGCCGGTAATTGGCATGCAGATTGTGTCTGATGGGCCTGTTATACAGAATAAAGGAATCTGCTAGTTAGAATAAGCCAACCCCAGGCTGATGGATGGGGCATAAGGAGGTCATTGCGAAAGAGAAATTGTGTGTGTGTGTGTCCCTGTGCGTGCGTGTGTTTCACAAGAATTCCTACCCCACTCCCGTCTCCCTCTTTATTCAGCAAACTCTAATCTTTCATATTGCATTGAGACAAATGTTGCTCCATTTCTCTCCCTCTCTCTGTTTTTCCCTGGAAGGGATATTTGATGGAACCCACTCCAGGTTTTAATAAAGTGTGGGGGCAAAGGAGAAATTAAAGC